AACCGATTGTTCAGTGACACAAGAATCACAACACAACCTACTTCCTACCTCTCTCACCGTACACTCTTTAATGGTAATCGTACAAGATCCCGTTTCTCCAAAACAGTTGAACTGCATTTTGCCACTTTTTTGGCAGAATGCGGAACGAACTTGTATCCGTATTTTGCCACTTTTTTGGCAGAAGACGGAACGGACTTGTATCCGTATTGAAAGTGCCTTATATATGGGTACAGTCCTCCCAACTTGAAGGCGGTTTCTAAAAATAATGGAATGGTAGCAGCCAGCTTCAAAGAGCCCTTCTGGTTCTTACGGTACCTTTCTCACAAACATGCAAGCGCATGTCCTGCAGAAATTGTGCACGTATGGTGCGCCAACGCACCCGCACGGTGCGGCAGAAGTGGGAAATAGGCTCCCAGAAAAAGAAGGAAGGGGTTGCCGGCCTGGATCAGTGGTCACCTGCATCCCCTGTGAAAATTTGTTGTGGGATGAAGCAAAAAAAGGGGGGGACTGTGGGACAGTAATGTCGCCACCTACCGGCGAAGCCTGATGTCCCCGATAACTATTTGAGGGAAGTACACGTTTATTTCTACTTCGTGTATCGAATGGGCAAAAAAAAACATGCACCCGCAAAGAAAAGAAGAGGAAGAAGAAGAAGAAGAAGAAGAAGAAGAAGAGGAGGAAGAAGAAGAAGAGGAGGAGGAGGAAGAAGAAGAAGAAGAAGAAGAAGAAGAAGAGGAGGAGGAGGAGGAGGAGGAGGAGGAAAAAGGCGACGAAAGTACCGATGGGCCGATGGCCGTGGTGTCAGACCGGGTGTCATATTTACAGGGGTCGGACATGGTGTCAGAGGGGAAAAAAAAAAAAAAAAAAAAAAAAATGCCCAATGGATACTTCGACCGAAATCGCTCATTTCGAGTTGGAGAGTGGTTTCCTTGCCGGCGTGAGTTTTTTTTGCTTTTAGGGTTTCAAAACATGCCGTTGTTTCCAACTTTTCTTTTTACTATTTTACAAAATAATTTTAGGCTATTCCTCATGCCCAATTGGACAAAAGGAAACATTAAATTTTGTGAAAAAGATCTGTTCTCCCTCCCCCCCCCCCCCCCCCCCCCCCCCCCCCCCCAAAAAAAAAAAAAAAAAAAAAAAAAAAAAAATGGTAAAAATTTCCCCCAGACTTTAGAAAAAACACCCCTGGTAAAAAAAAAAAAACCGCCAAAAGTTTATTTAAAAAGCCCCGGGTAAAAAAAAAAAAAAAAAAACATTAAAAAAGATCGATCTGTTCCTTAGGTGGTGCACTCTTCTCTCTTTCAGGAAGCGGAGAAAAAAACATAGGAACGTCTGCAGGTAAGGTGCACCGTGATGGGCAGGTGATGCGCCACGCACCACGCGGCACACCATATGGTGCAGTGCACGCTGTGGTTGCAAGGATGCGTTCTCGGTCTTTTGGATAAAAGCCCAAGTGTAGTATCTGTTCCGATGCTCTTCGATCAGTTTCATATCTGATCCGTGGTCCATCGGGCCGAAAAAATGGGCCGAAGGAAAAAAAAAAAAAAAAAAAAAGCAAAAGAAAAAAAAAAAGAGCCCTTCTGGGGTGAAGTCCCACTGCCGAAGTTGAGCTTTCTGAACGGTGAGCTTTCTATCACGTGTGGCATCGAGGGGACGGAGCTCTGCCGTTGATGTATTGAGCATCTAAGGGTACCGAAATACAGGGGAATAACCTATTAGATTTGGTGGCTTTGTACATTTTTTCTTTGACGTGAAATCCGTTTTGTAGTATGCGTTGGCCCTTTTGGTTTGGGCGGGAAGCCGTTTTCCATTGAGAAAACTACCCTACCGAGGTTAGGGTACATTTCTCAACTTATTTGCCTTTCGTTTTCTTTTTTTTTTTAAGACATCATTACACCCTGAAACGGAGGAGCTCTGACAGCTCTGTTTGGCTCTCTCGCATCAAACTCTCTTCCTTCTTTGGGCAATGAACGCATCTGGCCATCCATGTTGTCCCTGTCCATTTTACGAGTGGTGACCTCCTGTCCCCTCACCACGGGAAGTACCCTTTTTCCACGGAGACATTCACTCCGACTGTGCCAGACGTGGTTCATTTCTCCGACTTGATAAAAAATAAGGAGAAAACTCAGAAAAGCTGTTTCTAGCGTTTTTTTTTTCAGTTTTTTTATTTTTTGTTTCGAATTTATTAATGTCAAAATGGTGTCACACGGTTCAATCTGTTTTGATGAGACTTATGTAGGCAGCTGTCAGAGCCTGACTGATGTCATTGGTGTTTGATTGATCGTTTGTGTACTGGAGTGCTCCATTTACTGAATTGGAAAAAAAAAAAAAAAGAACTTTTTATGGGCAAACTAACAATATCAGCCATCTGTGGCGTGTCTTTGGTATGTTGTGTGCTTCCTCTCCGTCCTCGCCTTCCTCCCTCTCTTCCTTCCCCCTTCCATCCCTCCCCTTGTTCTGAAATAATTTATGGAAAATCAGCCACGGGCAATGACAGTCTGCTTGCAGAGTCAGTCCACTGGCTCCAGAAGGCTGCAGAACAGTCGGACTCGCTTGCACAGAATCGACTCGGGACGTGCTTCTCCAGGGGGGAGGGGGTTCCCAAGGATGATGTGCAGGCTGCAGACTGGTACCGCAAAGCTGCGTCGCAAGGGAATGGCGATGCGCAATGTAACTTGGGGTACTTGTATTCGCACGGGATCGGGGTGCCAAAGAATGAGCCGGAGGGAGTGAAATGGTACAAGAAGGCAGCTGAACAGGGAGATGCGAGGGCGCAGGCGCATCTTGGATTCTGCTACGAGAGAGGCGTCGGAATCGCAAAGGACGAAGTCCAGTCCGTGAAGTGGTACCGTAAATCTGCAGATCAGGGGTATATCCAGGCACAGCACAACATGGGATGGTGCTATGAGCGAGGGATCGGTGTCCCACAGGATTACACAGAGGCTGTGAAGTTCTACCAGAAAGCAGCATTGCAAGGGTTTGCCGATTCCCAAAGCAACCTGGGGACATGCCACAGAGATGGCCTTGGAACTCCAAAGGATTTAGCGAAAGCTGAAGAGTGGTTCTTGAAGGCAGCCGAACAAGGACTCAAAGGCGCCCGGAGGAATCTCGGTTTCTTACTCTATGACAAAGCCAGAGGTATTTTAAAAACCCTCTTCCCCTGCCTGTGTGCCTTCATGTCTGCCTCAAGAGGTCCAGGTTGCCTGGCTGTACAACTGTCTATCTGTCTCTCTCTCTCTCTCTCTCTCTCTCTCTCTCTCTCTCTCTCTCTCTCTCTCTCTCTCTCTCTCTCTTTGTGGTGGATAATTCATTAGATCGTTTGTCATATCTCTCTCTCTCTCTCTTTGTGGTGGATAATTCATTAGATCGTTTATAACTTCACTGTGACATAGATTTTGACAAACGAACAAGGACTCGAGGGCGCCTGGAGGAATCTTGGTTTCTTACTCTATGACAAAGCCAGAGGTATTTTAAAAACTCTTATCCCCTTCCTGTCCGTCTACCTGTCTGCCTCGAGGGGTCCAGGAAACCTGGCTGTATGACTGTCTATCTGTCTGCATGCGTCTCTCTCTCTCTCTCTCTCTCTCTCTCTCTCTCTCTCTCTCTCTCTCTCTCTCTCTCTCTTTGGTGGAGAATTTATTAGATCGTTTACAACTGCACGTAGATTTTGACAAATGGAAGCATCTGGGGATTGCGGTTGTGTGTTGACACTGTTGAGCTGTAATGTTGTGCACTGGTGTGTTTTTTTGCGTGTTATACTTGCAGCGTCTAGAAATAACAATGCACTGAAGGAAGCAGTGGAGTGGTTGCAAAAGGCAGCTGATCAGGGTGACGCTCTAGCGCAGAACAAGCTCGGAGTCTGCTATGCAAAGGAAGAGGGTGTGCCGAAGGACGAAGCCAAGGCAGCTGAATGGTATCACAAGGCTGCCGATCAGGGTAATGCTAATGCGCAGTGGAACCTGGGTGTTCTTTATCTTGAAGGGAAAGGAGTGGCGAAGGACGTCATGGAAGCAGTTAAATGGTTTCACCGCTCCGCGGCACAGAACGATCCGAGGGCGCAGACACACCTGGCGTACTGTTACGAGCGCGGAGTCGGGCTCGAGCGGGACGAGACACAGGCTGCTGCATGGTACGCAAAGGCAGCAGAGCAGGGTTACGCTTACGGACAGCACAACCTTGGCTGGTGCTTTGAACATGGCGCAGGTGTGCAGAAGAATGTCACGGAAGCCGCTAAGTGGTACGGCAAGGCGGCCAAGCAAGGTTTTGCAAGCTCACAGTGTAATCTGGGGATATGCTACAGAGATGGGCTGGGAGTGCCTGTTGATATAGGCGAGGCGGAGAGGTGGTTCCGTAAAGGTGCCGAGCAAGGGCACAAGGGTTCGCAACGCAATCTTGGCCTTTTGTTGTATGAGAAGTCGAAAGGTGAGATAGCCACCGATTGCTGCTTATTGGCCCAGGTGTTTGACTGCGTGCCAACCTCTACTACTACCGTCTTCACCTGAATAAAACACTCCGTCATTATCAATGCATCTGGTCTGAAAATTGCCTCGAATACCTCTATAATGACTGGGCGCTCTCTTCGGTTGAAGACGGTAGTGCGGCCCTAATTCTTTTATGCCTATTTTAAAGCTTCTTAACTAAAAGTGGTGGTGGTCCCTAACCTGTTTGACAGTTGCCACTTTATATCTATCTGATCACATTAGAATTTGAATTCATAATCTCTTCATCAATAGTGACGCGTGTGTGGTTGTGCTAACATTCAGCTCAAGTCTCTATGCTCTCTTACAAGCAACCAGGTGCACTCCAGAACCTACAAGCGAACAGGTGTGGACCAGGACGCCCATTTGCTATGTCCCTGCTATCATCGCACGAATCTGGATTGCATAACGACCATATTCATGCTTAACGTAACAAGGACATAACCATACTCGCATGAATGTGGATCGCATCGCAGCCATGTTCTCACTGCGGTTACCATGGATGGGACCTCGGTGAGAAACACCAGTAGAAACTCACTGCCTTTTACAAGGTCCCGACAGGCCAAACATGACTGCAGGAAATGTGGCCATCAGAAATCAATAGCACACCCGCTTGGGTGTTTGTGGCGATGCAATAGGTTCCAACGAGGGGCAGATGTTCCTGGAGGCTGGTGTCTTCTCGAGAATAGAAAGTGTATGGTCGGTTATCTGCTGTCTTCGGCAGAATAGGAAGAGTATACTGGACATTAATGCTCGTTCTCTGTGTTTCTAGACTGAATGTTTCGCCAAATACAGATACAATGACCGTACATTATATTTGAGGGCAGACGGTAGGTGGAACTCATCTATACTCCCTCCCTCTTGTCTAGTGTCTTCTAACTGGTGCACAAGGGCAATATTCGTGACCAAGTTCATTTGTGCCCAGTGTGTGGGAAGAATGAACTTGGTCGCGAATATTGCGCAGGTCTTTCGTGCTTTCATAGCGTGGACATAGAACGAGTGGCGCCTGGTCATAATGGGACTGGGGCCTGGTCATAATGGGACCAGGCCCTGACTGAGGCTGACGCCGTTTACATGCTGACTATATGTAGATTCTTGGGGTCAACTGCCATTTTGAAAGGGGGAGCCTCCTAACGGTACCGTAACGGAGAATCTAGACAGGGGTTGTACCCTGACTGTTATGCAGGTACAGGTCTGGGTTGCCTTCGTGTGCTTGGATTGTTGGTTGTTCGACTATTAGAGGCAGGCCCCACTGGGGCTTATGTCTTTTCATGCTTGGAAAACCTGATTGTGGGTGTAATATCGACCAGTGGCACGGAAAACGTCACAATTTTGGAGATTGGTTCTTGTTGTGCTGGCCGTGTTTCAGATTCTCTGCGTGCTTCGAGTGTGTGTGTGCGTGTGTACTGATTGCGGTGTGATCTGTTCGTTGTATCACAGATATGATAGAGGGAGTGCGCCCCGACGACTTCTCTATGGAGAACGCTGTGGAGTGGCTGCAGAAGGCGGCGGACCAGGGAGATGCTCTGGCGCAGAGCCGGCTGGGTGTCTGTTACGCGAGAGGAGAGGGTGTGGCAAAGGATGAGGCGAAGGCCGCCGAGTGGTATCAAAAGAGTGCTGTTCAAGGGAACGCGAATGCGCAGTGGAACCTTGGGTGCCTGTACTACGAGGGCAAGGGTGTCGAGAAGGACCTCGTCGAAGCGGTCAAGTGGCATCAGCTTGCGGCGAACCAGGGCGACTCGCGAGCGCAGAACCACCTCGGTCACTGCTATGAGCACGGGGAGGGAACTGCAAAGAATGAGGTGGAGGCCACTAAGTGGTATCTCAAGGCCGCAGAGCAAGGGTTGCCGACGGCACAGCATAATCTGGGATGGTGCTTTGAGCGCGGCGTTGGTGTGGAGAAGGATCTCAGCGAAGCGTTCAAGTGGTACGATAAAGCGGCTGAGCAGGGACACTCGGACGCGCAGCATCACCTAGCCCTTTGTTATCGGGATGGAAAAGGCATACCGAAGAGCTACGATCAAGCAGAAGAGTGGTTCCATAAGGCGGCGGAACAAGGCCACAAAAGCGCGCAACGCAATCTCGGACTCCTGCTCTACGAAAAAGCCAAGTTGTGATGATCAGCAGATGTCCGTTCCTCTCATTATTCTCTTCTCTCTCTTCTGTTCGCTTCACCCTCAAGTATCATCCAGCACCGCGATATCTATCCACGCTCCTTGAATCCGCAAACGTTTGATTAGTTTGTTGCAAGGCTGAAGAAAAGGACGAAAAGCGTGCGCACAGTGGAGTCGAAGCCAAAGGCTGTTTGCGAAAGCCAAGCGGTGGTGGTCCCTGGTGGTGTGTAACAGATGCATATGACGATATATACGTATATATGTTGTCTCAGTCTACGACTCTACGGCTGTATGTGAAAGACGAGCCGTTGGAACTTGGACGTCAACAGATTCGTAAACGGCATCGATCTGTTGCAGCCCCCTCTTTCTCTATCAAATATCCTTTTTATCATTCAGTTAGCGGAACTTAGTCCCTTTCATCGATTGATGCCTAGATTTTGGGAAGGAACCACATTGTTGACTTTCTGCTTTTGTTGACTTTCTGGCTTTGTTGACTTTGACTTTGTTGACTTGCTATTTGGCAACTTCGTGAACCCTTTTCTTGCTCCGGGGTTTTGGTTTTGAGAATGATGAGCGCTCCGGGGTTTTGGTTTTGAGAATGATGAGCCTATTTTAAAGCTTGGGTACTTCATTCTGGAAGGATGACACGCAGATTGATTGATACTCTGGTAATTTGACCGACCGGATTCAACCCCCATTTGACAGAGATTCAACTGTCAACGTATAGACAGGTTTCTATGAAGATAGATAGATGCATAAATAAGCAGAGGAAGTCTTAGATTGATTGCTAGGCTTGGCGCATCACATAGGACGTGGTAAAGATGCGGAAATACGCAGGAAGACCGCTAGCTAGCAGCATAGGTACGTACATTGGTAGCCTGGTAGGTAGATAGGAGGTGGAGAAAACTAAGTAAGAGGTAGGTACATTGGTAGCCTGGTAGGTAGATAGGAGGTGGAGAAAACTAAGTAAGGGTTGCGTTGAGACTGCATGTGTGTGCACATGCGTGATTGATTGATTGAATTTGAGAGAGAGAGAGAGAGAGAGAGAGAGAGAGAGAGAGAGGTGGGGAACGAGTCGTTAAAGGAAAAGATTAGAGATGGTGATTGTGGGAGAGGTGAGATGTGTCCGTTGTGCATATCGTAAGCATTCTTTTATTGAAGATTTGAAAGGTGTCCGTGGTTGTCGGCACCCATCTTGGTGGAGATAGTGTCCTCTCGCTTCTCTTTTGCCGCCTCACACATTTTCTGTTCTCATGAGTCGTCATGTGTGTAAGAGCGAGCTTGGAATAAAGAACAACGTACTAGCTATATTGTGGTGACGTAGTGCTCACTAGTGCTCACCACTCTATCGACTCTCTCTCTCTCTCTCTCTCTCTCTCTCTCTCTCTCTCTCTCTCTCTCTCTCTCTCTCTCTCTCTCTCTCTCTCTNCTCTCTCTCTCTCTCTCTCTCTCTCTCTCTCTCTCTCTCTCTCTCTCTCTCTCTCTCTCTTCTCTCTCCCCCCTAAGAACCGGACATGCGCATCTGTTATCTACAAGTGTTCTTGGAATTGCAGGTGACCCCAGGTCCTTATTTCTCTTTTTGGGTATATGGCCCAGTTTAAAAAGCACGGGGGGATGGGAGGGGGAGGGGAGGCCCAGTTTGAAGAGCAAAGGGGGGGAGGGAGGGGAGGGGAGCACGGTGGGGGCAGTACCTCATGCACCCTACTTAAGGGTACGCCGGATGTATTTTATAAAATCGGAGTATGGTAGCCCTACTAGCCCTGTGTGTCAAAGCTATGTTGGGTGATACAATAATTTTACAGATGATGGGGACCACAATTACTGTCTGACGGGCTTCGGTAGTGTGACCCGCCTGACCTGGCCCTTTGATATGATAGATATCATAAGATATCATATCATAAATATCCCTTACGGTGCTATTGTGAAAGGGTAGGGGGTTCTTTCTGTCTATTGTCTACTGTTATTGTGACAGGATAGGCTCTAAATTTCTGCAATATGTGCCTGCCATATAAGGAAGGATCCAGTTTATACCTCTGTGAAGACAACAGTTAGTACAGTAACTGCCTTTTCTGAGTAAATGGTTGAGGGTAGCCTCTGCTTGTGTGACTGTGAAGTGCCTTTTCTGTCAGTCATTATCTTTTGAATTTCAATCTTATAATCGCTTATCGCATGGCCGCCTCTTGTCGAGTTTGTTCTCAGGTGTTATTGATATAATGGTTTAATTAACTTGAATAATGCTTTTATATGTTCAGCGTTGCGAGGCTTGGCTCGTGTCACGTGTCCTCGTTGTTTTTGTCATGTGATTGGGAACGCTGCCTTTCTCTTTTTTCTTTTTTTGGGTCACAGATTTCAGAATTTGTGCGGCTTTGTGGGATTAATGCACCAGTCTCTTCACGACCTACACAGCCTGAGTGCCCAATTGTCGTTCGGGTTTCTGCAGCAGCATCTCCACAGGCTCTGTGCACATTGTGTTTGTGGCAGCTAGTCCCATCTGGTCCCATCTGGTCCCATGTTGTCCCACTTACTCTCAGGAGTCTCAGCTGATGCAGGAGGGTGGTGATGATGCTTTTTAGGCCGGGGGGAGGCGGGGGGGCGGGGAAGCACACCTCGAAGCCAACCCCCCCCCCCCCCCCGCATAGTTTATGGGGAAAAGGTAATTTTTTTTTATTTTTTTTTTTAAGGGCACTTTGGGGCCGTTTGAGTCCCCTGAGGTGAGCCGTCAGCGGCTGAAATGGTTTGGAAACGCCCTCTGCACCCTACTGCACCCCCCCGCTCTCCAGCAGCCACCGTGGGCCCCAGAGGCCCATTGCCAATGGGATGCAATGGCCCTCTATGGCTTAAGTTGACTGCGCAGAAGAGGGGGGGGGNGGGGGGGGGGGGGGGGAGGGGAGAGGGGGGAAAGAGGGTAGGGCGTGTAGCCTGTGTAGGTGTACTGACGTATGGGGACCCTAAATGCAGTTGCCAATCACTCCCTTTGCCAGCCGCATGAGACCCCATCGTGGGCCCCAAAGGCCCATTGCCCGTTGCCCATGGGTGGCAAAAGCTGTCATCGCCTCATTTTGCATGTGGCAGACGGACATTGTTTGCTTCCTTGTCCTCGGACGAAGCGGATAGGGAAGAAACGACAATGGGAGAACGCTTTGGGTGGAAAAGCATGGAAATAAAATGTCACGAATAAGTATAATTTTTGTTTTACAATAGAACGATTTGGGAGTCGTTTAGTTTGAAATGGGCAGAATGATTTTGTCACTGCTGGAGTTCAAAATGGCAAGAAAGGGGAAAAATGCAAAAATAGTCTGCCCCTGTGGTTGTGATATCCGCATTTCTTACAAAGTGCTGCTGGCCTTTTATTGGCCTTTTCGACCGCAGCGGGTGAGGGACCTCCCGATACTTTTTTTTTTTTTTTTTACCCATTTGGTACTGTAACATGGTTTGTGATTTGAACGTACCTGCCCCAAAATTATAACAGGAACAAAAGCAAATTTAAAGCATCTTTTTTTTGTTTTTTTTTTTGGAACAAAGAGGGCCCAGTGCCCAAGGCTGATATTACCAATATGTATTTTGAGGCCGGGGTCCTCAGTCTACCCGGATGTAGCCAATCAGACCATGCTGAGAACAGGTCTCAGTTTCCCTCGTATGAGAATGATGATGATGCCGATGCACTTCTATCAAGTCTGTGACCTTCAAATAACAGCATATTAGCAGAATAGCAAAATAATAAAAAATATCTACAGTTGATTGATGGGACCCCAGGGCTCCTCTTCAGCTCCATACTGAGCCGCCGGATAGTTCTGGAAATCCTATCTCCCTGATTGATTCCCTTGCCACCTTTGCCATTTCTATGATGCTCTACTCCTCTCTCAAACCAGGTCATCATCTGATGTGATATTCAACTCCTTTATCTGGTGGAAGGAAATGATGCACATGCATGTGTACAACACAGGCTACAGAACTGCTAGTGCAAAACAATTTAAAAAAAAAAAAAAAAGAAAAAAAAGTTAATATAACATTAGTGGAAAGCACAGGTGAACAATCACAATTAACATTTTGAACTTTTAGTAGTAGACTTGTTTTTCTAGTAGACCATCGTCATCACCTTCAGGATTCGCGGTTAACCTTGCGACCTATTTCTAGTAGACTGTCATCATCGCCATCAGGATTCGCGGTTAATCTTGCGATAGGACAGAGTCCGACAAACGTCGGGCAACAATCTCGTCTTTAATCTCAGTGGTTCAGTCTACGTCGGGGTAATACTGTCCGTACACCTTTGAACTGCCTCGGGTGATGTGTATTATCTTACGATGATCGAGTGCAACTTGGTCAAATCGCATACCGCTCTCGTCCGAGTCTCTTGCAAATTTAATGCAAAATGAACAAACGAGCCGCTTACAAGTTGTGCTGCGTAGCTTGAAACCGGTTGCTGCTCGCCTGCGTGTCCTGCGCGTGAACCAGCACGTACCGCCCTTTTATCGGCTCCACCTGCTCACCTGCGTGTCCTGCGCGTGAACCAGCATGTACCGCCCTTTTATCGGCTCCACCTGCTCACCCTGCCTCCCTTCTCCTAGGTTCAGCTAGTCAGCCTGCTGCAGCTGCTCCACCAGCGACTACATCGACGGATTCTCGTCTCTGCTTAAACTGCAGATAGCCATGACATTTCCCTCGGGATTGTCCTTACGTGAAGCAGGCTACACAAGCTCCTCTTGCAATGAGGTCAGTTGTCTTCAATCGAGGAAGGGTGGGGGCTTTGTTAAACAAGGAACACAACACTGCAACCTCTGCCTTCGTTGCTCCGTTGGAAGCCGGCGCCTTCGCCGCTATTGGAGGAGTGCCAAGTAAGAAATTTAGTTGCCTTCATCAGAGCCATGATAGTAAAGGAAGGAAGTGCGGAAGGTACAGACAACGGGGTTTCCCTTGACACAGACACGAGATCTCAGTTCAAAGACGGAGAGATGGATGTCTGATTGCGCCACATCATGTCCGCGTGCATGTGTGCACGTGCACTATGTGGCCCACGTGATGTGCTGCATGCATATACATCCACGTGCGGGGCCTTGTACGCACGAGGAGGTTCTGAACAGGGGGAGTTGTAAGGAAGAAGAGAAAAATGAATTGATATTTTTTTGTTTCCTTTGTGTTTTTCGTTTTTGCGTTCTGATATGTATGTGACGATATATATATATATATATATATATAGTCAAACAGAGCTCACTGGTAAACCGTAGGGCCTGGCAGAGAGGGAGGGAGAAGAGGACAACAAACGAGGGGCTGTGACGAACTGTTTCGTCGGAGTCTCACCGACTCATCAGTATATATACATGCAAGGATTCATTTACGTTGAAAATAGCCTGAGTCATCCTCCTGTCATCCCATATTTTCTTTTGTTGCTCTCCCTCTTTGTAGGGGGTATTTCGTTTTACGAACCTACTGTATGGTTCCGTTTTTTTAACTATGGATATGGTAGAATTTGTTTTGGTGATGTTGTCTGTATCCCGGTTGGTTTGGTCCAGTTGTTCAGGCTATTTTATGGGCGTGGCTGTGCTTTCACGTGGGACCAGTCATTCGGGTTCCTGGCATCCTGGTTGGTTGTTTCCCATCGTTCGGCCTTTTGAGCGCGGGGCGGTGCTTGTATGTGGGGATCCTCATCCAGGATTGTCTTCTCTTCCTTTTTTTGGTTGCCACACTGTGGATCGGAGCTTTTTTTTGCCTTGTCTGCGTCCCAGTTGGTTTTTTCCCGTTGTTCGGCTATTTGGGATGTTGCCTGGTTTCCTGGTAGCGGTGCTTTCATGTGGGACTGGTCATCCGGGTCCTCTTTTTTGGTATGACATCCTGGCTGGTCTTGTCCCGTCGTTTGGCCTGTAGTTGCAGGGGCGGTGTTTGCATGTGGGACTTGTCATCTAGGATTGTCATTTAGGATTTGCTTTGCAGCCCCCTGTTCTGTTTTGTTTGGGCTGTTTCCTTCCTCTTTTCTTTGCCTCTTTGCCTTTTGGCTGTGTGCAAGTGGGTCGATATGACACACGGGGGTGGGGCCAGCCGCCGCTCAACCTACATCCACGTGGGCGGCCTTGTACGCAAGAGGTTCTGAACAGGGGGAGTTGTTAGGAAGAAGATGAAAAATGAATTGATATTTTTTTGTTTCCTTTGTTTGTTTTTTTTCGCTTTTGCGCTCTGATATCTATGTGACGATATATATGAGTCGGTGAAACTCCGACGAAACAGTTTGTCACAGCCCCTCGTTTGTTGTCCTCTTCTCTCTCTCTGCCTACGGTTTACCGGGCAGTTCTATTTGTGACGATATATATACGATA